TCTGATAGCTTGCTTCGTTTAGCAGCGCCTGGTCGTCTTTCCTTAAACTATGGGACCAAAATGTACAACGTAGCAATAAAGAAATATAGTATAATGAAAATTTCGGTTCCTTGCGAAACTTCGTCGTTCTTTTCCAGCCGTCCTGGAAAAGAGGAAAAATAAAACGTGTGAGTGCATGTCGAAAATACACTCGTACTTGCGTAAGGACACAAGATGAGCGGAAAAAAAATAAACTAATACACTTACAAACAGCGTAAAAGCGATTATGAAAAAAGTGTTGTTTTTTTTGTTTTATATATATATATATAAAATATATATATGCGCTCAAAAAGAGATAAAAATGTTTTGTTTTTTTTGTTTTTTTATATAAATAAAAAAATGAGCATATTAAAAATATTTTATAATTAACTATGAAAAGTTAATTCAAGATAAAGCTTATGTCCTACGTGCAATATTCTATAAGATGTTCTGGAAATCTTACTCGTCTTCCAGAACGCGTTGTTTTAGGTTTATTTATCGATGTTGACGAAGTATCAAGTTGTGTGTCGGTTGTCGTGTAGGGTACTACGAGTGTAGTGGCTGTGTCGTTTGCTTGTACCGAAGGAAAATCAACGTAGCTAGGGTTTCCTTCTAGGTACGCAGCTTTGAGTCGATCGATACCGATGCTATCTTTCGTACCGTTCTTATCGACAACATAGTACTTAGGTTCGCGTTGAAGAACTTTGAAGGGTCCTTCGTATGCTGATTCGAGGGATCGTCGATGTGAGTCTCGACGAACGAAGACGTGTGTACTATGTCGTAATTCGGGTTGAACGAAAACATCAGTTGATTGAGGTCGAGTGTGAGCAGGTTTAACTGAACGCATAGCGTTTGTAAGCCTACTCGTGTAAGAGTTTAGATCCATGTTCAATGAAGAAGCTGAAGGATCCACGAATTCTCCTGGGAGTCGGAGTGTCGTTCTGTAAACGAGTTGAGATGCCGTGTATCCAATGTCAGCTTTCACTGCATTGCGGATACCTAGCAAGACGAGTGGAAGAGCGTCTGTCCACTGTGGAACGTTTGAAGCTGATAATGAAGCTTTTAATTGTCGATGAAAACGTTCTACCAACCCGTTTGCGTGTGGGTGGTAGGCGGTCGTTCGGAAGCGCGTGATTCCTAAAAGTGTGGTTAGACAACGGAAAAGTCCAGATTCGAACTGGCGTCCGCGGTCTGTAGTGATTGTGGAAGGACAGCCGAAATTTGCTACCCATCGTTCGACGAAAGCGCGGGCCACTGTTTCAGCAGTAATGTCCTTAATCGGTACTGCTTCTGGCCATCGAGTAAAACGGTCTACGCATGTTAGGAGATATGAGTATCCGTTCGAGTCGGGTAAGGGTCCTACCAAATCTAGATGGACGTGGTCGAAACGAGCGTCAGGGGTTTTGAAAGAACCTATGGGACATTTGTTGTGTCTGATTACCTTAGATTTCTGACAGCTTACACAGGAGCGTGCCCACTCCCTCACGTCTTTATTCATGCCAGGCCAACAAAAGCGTTCGGCTATAAGTTCGATTGTTGCACGAGCACCTGGATGAGAAAGATTGTGCAACGTATTGAAGACGTTGCGGCGATAATGTTTTGGTACAATTGGACGATCCCTACCTGTAGATGTGTCACAGAGTAAGGTTTCCTTACCTGTTCCCATCTGCCTAATACTTAGTTTAAGAGTTGTCGAGGATAACTCATGCTGAAGATCAATGTCTTCTTTTTGAAGCTGAGCGAGTCTAAGAAGGTCGATTCTTTGGAAACTGTTCAAGGAGCTAATTCGAGACAAGGCGTCTGCGACTACATTGTTTGCTCCAGAAATGTGTTGTATGTCTGAAGTAAACTGCGAAATGTAGTCGAGTTGTCGAGACTCTCGCGGTGAGTACTTGTCTGAAGATGAAGTTAAAGAGAAGGTAAGAGGTTTGTGATCGGTAAAAAGCGTGAATTCTCTTCCTTCGATGGAATGTTGGAAATGCCGTACAGCACAATACATAGCTAGGAGTTCCCTACCGAACGTGCTGTACCTAGATTCAGCGTCTAGCAACCGTCTCGAGAAAAATCCTAAAGGTTGCCACGAGTTGTTAACCCATTGTTGTAAGACTCCTCCGATTGCTGAGTCGGATGCGTCTACGGCGATACTAATGGGCGCTTGAGTGTCCTGATGAGCAAGCAAGGTTGCTTTAGCGATGTGTTCCTTAACTGTGGAAAATGCTTTACGGGCTATGTCGTCTAAACTGATTGATTTCGCATTTCCACGAAGCTGATCGGTTAACGGTTTCATAAGGGATGCGCATTTGGGTATGAACCGTCTATAGAAACTTACAAGTCCGTTGAAAGTTCGTAAGTGCTTGATCGTGGTCGGTTCTGGGTAATCCAGAATGGCCGCCACTTTGCTTCTAAGGGGTCGGATGCCTTGGGCATCAATGGTGTGTCCTAAGAAGTCTAAGGAGTTTGTTCCGATTTGGCATTTCTGTATGTTGACAGTAATGCCATGCCTTTGGAGTCGATCGAAAACAATGTCCAGATGCTTGAGATGCGATTCTCTGTCCGGACTTGCTATTAGACAGTCATCAACATACGCATGTACGAAGTTGAGACCTCGGAAGACGTCGTCTATAAACCTTTGGAAGGTTTGAGCCGCGTTTCTTAAACCAAAAGGCGTTCGTAGAAAATCGTAAAGACCGAAGGGAGTGATGATGGCGGTTTTAGGAATGTCGCCAGGTGCCATTGGTATTTGGTTATAAGCTTTAACCAAGTCGATTTTCGAAAAGACAGTTGTACCTTTCAAGGTAGCAGTCAAATCGTGAATATGAGGCAGCGGGAACGATCGGGAATGGTTTTAGCATTCAGACGCCGATAATCACCAGTTGGCCGCCAATCATTGCTGTCCTTTTTAGGGACCATGTGCAATGGGGATGACCATGGACTATTCGATGGTCGAATTATACCTAGGTCCATCATGTGGTCGAATTCATTTTTAGCTAACTTAAGCTTCTCGGGAGCGAGTCTTCAGGTGGTCCTGTAGTCGAGATGTGATGTGTAACATTGCTGGTTACACAAGGCAATTTCGATTGCGATTGGTATATTCCGGGGTATTTGTCGAGTACTGATTGGTACAATGGGTCTATGGTGTGCTTAATCGTGACTGGGGATAACCTGCAACCGGAACAAGGAGTTACGCAAACGGATAACTTCGTGTTTCCGTCTATTAACCTTCGTGAGCGTGTGTCGATGAGTAGATTGTGGTGTTGTAACAGGTCTATACAAATGATTGGCATAGAGACATCTGCAACCACGAAAATCCAGTGTATGGGTTTGCGTAAACCCACGTTAAGGTAGACGTACCTTTTACCGTAAGTAGCGATCGGCTTTCCGTTTGCCGCCTGTAAACTTAAAACAGACTCGCGAAGTCTGTCGTCGGGATTTGCTGGAAGAACGCTAACTTCTGCGCCAGTGTCGACGAGGTAGCGAACTTTCGTGGCCACATCCGTGACATATAAGAGGCGGCTGTGTTCGCCGGCTACGGTTGCCGTCAACGCGTGCCGGCTGGGAAGTTTCCCGAAATCTTATTCGTGTCAGTCGATTTTGAAGTCGGATAATTGCAAGGTTTCCTGCAATTTCTGGAAAACTTACCGTACTGGTTATGATACCAGCACCAGTCGGGATTGTCTGTCTCCCGTGGTCGAGAGCCAGATCGCTTACGTGAGGCGCTTCTACGCGGGGTTTTTGACCGACTACGGTCATTGCGAACTCTAAGATATCGTGTAAGCGTGTGACATAGTTCGGCCATGTCAGTCGAGGTCGATTGGGGTTTTTCTTTGACGGAAAAAACCTCGGCCTTAGAAGATCTAGTGATTTCCAAGATTCGATCGGCAGATGCAGCTAGTTCATCTATGGCATTGTTTTGAAATGAAACAAGCACTGCCCACACCTGTTGAGGGAGTTTAGACAAGAAAAGTTGTCTAAATAGGCCATCATCGAAAGTTCGTTGGCCGATGACTTCTCTCATTCTAAGCAACATGTCCGTCGCAGAATCATGTTGCAAGTCGATATTGTTAAGGAGTTGGTCTAACCGTTGTCGATCAGTTAGGTCTCCTCGTTTTAAAATCGATAGCTTAAGCGTTTCGTAAGGTTCGGAAACATCACTAGTAAACATACTAGGTGTTACGTACCTGTTGAACTCGCGCGGTAACGCCTTAACTACCGCGAGGAAACGTGTGCGCGAGTCCGTGCATGCTAAAATCGGCTTCTGCATAGCAGAACCAGGACTCGATATTGTCGGGCCAAAATGGCGTTAACTGAATCGAAATAGGGGGAATAGACTTGAACTTAAGAACCTTAGGAGAGTGTTCCGTCATAGTAATATAGATAACGAAAAATGTCCGAGAAAAAAATTTCGCGAAAAAAAGTATATCACAATATATGAAATTCAAATAAAGAATAACAATGAATAATAATATTCCAAAATGGAACAGACTCACAGTATATTGACTTGGTGTACCAGATCACGTCGGGTTCACCAATGAATGATGCAACGGATGTTCTAGTTTTACAACTAGCTACCAGTAGCACCTTCTATATTTGATCGTTCCCAGTCAGATAGAAATCAGACGAGAAGAGGCAGGAAAGATATATTTGATTCGTTGCCAATATATCGAGGACCTTTTCTATAAGCTGGCTAATCAAACGTAGGAGCTGTGTCCCACGCCGAGTCGAAACGTGATCTGGTACGGATGCATGACCGAAAGCCTTCAGCTAAACAAGTCCACTTAAACAACGTGGTCAGCATCCAATGTCGAACACTTAATGAGCTATTGATTTTGGGGAATTATTTACAGCTACACTAATATCATTACGTAAAAAAGCCTATCGCGCACTTCCCAAACACAGTAACTGATTTAAATTACTGTATACACAGAGTAGTTTTTTTTAATCTTAATTATAAACCGCTCAACTACATACAATGGATAATGTTTAGTTTGAAACAATTTATATTTTGAATGGATTAACGAAATAACACAATTACAATCTTGTGTTTATTTACTATCCCCTTTTCAGAGTGAAACTAAAAAACTCTTTTGTATTAAGAATTAGTTTAAGTTTTAGAATGAGAATCAAATTAATTATTCGTTTAATATGAGCTTTAGGATGTTTAACCATTACGTTATCTACTCTGATCCATAAGTAATGTTTGGATTTGTAATTATGCAGTAAAAGATATATGGAATTAGTTCTGGTCATAAGAAACGATACCAGTCAGAGAAGCAATAGAAACCAGGATAGATTTATGTTTTATTCAAGTTCGGAACCTCTAGGTGTATTGTCCACATAGGACTGCACGTAGGATACAGCTAGAAAACTATGGTGTCGAGGTCGACATAATATACTATCACCCCATAATAAAAATCCAACCGGCAACTAGATCTGTATATTCACAACTACATGAATTTTCAAATTCAAATGCCACCATAAGGTCAACTACCTTAGAGGTATAGTGTGGATCATTTTACAACTTACGAAAAAACATGCACTAGTATGGTTTGTAACAGAAGAGATAAAGTTTGTCACATGTTCTATATAATTCCATATACTCGATGCCAGACAAAGAATTGATAATTAGGAAATCTTTTTTGTTATTCACATGACAATAAACTAACCATTATAATCGATTAGAATTTATTGCCTGCAAGCTGTTGAAGTGATCAAAGAAGTGAAACAGAAGCTTTGAACAAAACAGCCATTGGTTGATAGAAAATTTGTAGTTGATAAGAACTGATATAGTGAATGCCTAGAAAATGTGTGTCAATCGGTTGACAGAGGTTTTGGTTATCTCATTATAATGAGTATATCACGCTATTGCAATTTCTAAATTATAACGAACATTTGCAGTTCAGGGTCTCTGTTTTCAAAACTCTTGGTTGATAATACATGTTGCTTGCTTAGACTAATCATCTCTTGTGAAAACCTAGGATGAGAGGTAGTCCTTTAATTTCCTGATGGAAGCATAACTTCTCTTGGTAATATTTTGACTGGTCGATATAGACTGAAATAGCAAGTCAACTATTGGAAGGACATGAAATAAACACCATACAGAATTAGTGAAAATAGGGTCCCCGAATAGAGTCTTTAAGACCTTAGAAATCATTGGTTAGTGTTCCTACATGTTTTCGATCATGTTATTTTCTATCGCTCCTTTTTCGCCATATTAAATTACATAATTATTCTCCAACTGTCAGTGCTTTCCTACATGATCCCTTTTACGATTCTCTGTGTGAAGCTATGGCGAATAGAACTAGTGGGTTTTCGAGTTAGGTCGTATCTTTTGTAAGTGATGTCGGACTACGGATAATACACCATTAGTTTGGAATATATGAACAAAAGTAGGATTGAATTACAAGATCAATTTACAGATGTCTTTCCTGGATGTTTGGATATCATCATCACACTTTTTCCTAAGCTACAGAATGGATTCAGAGTGAATGTACCAATTAACTTATGAGTAACCTATTCTTTTATGCTATGCAACGACAAAACGAATTGCTACCAATAGTTTGTTCCCCAAAAAATAGAGATAACATTAGTATTTCTGGCACTACAGCTATTCCGTTCCAGTTTATGTGAAATGAAACTCATATTATCACTATACAATATGACAATGAAATATCCTAACGAACAAAAACATAACTCTTTCACAGTAGAAAGTTACTAATATGGTTGTTTAAAAAAAGTTAATACAATGGTGATTTGTACAAATAGGTTGTCAAGTAAACAAGTGAAAATTGTTTTACAAAAATATCCCCATAAATCGACAAAAAGGAAAAGAAATAAGTGGAAGTTCAAGTGATTATGTACATTCGACAATTTTCAATAAATTCTGACGTAGATAACCATCCGTTTTACGTGACAAAGGCAATACTAATTTGGATAATTGATTTAAAATTCCTGAACCGGTTAGTGAATTTCCACAATTTGCTTTAGCCCACGTATCTGGGAATTCGACTGTCTGACACAAGTTAATCTCACCAGATTGTTCATTTGAACTGGTATTTGTTGATAAATGCCTAAGCAGATCACTATCGAAATATGTACGGCTAACTCCAGTCCTTCGTAAGACATCAATACCGTTGGCACGTCTCTTCAATGGAATCTAAGATTAACAAATTTATGAAATAAAGATTTAGACAATTGGTAACTTTAATGGTGTAACTGAATATCTTGGAGTATGACAACGACGAGTAACTTGAGTATGGAAAAAATGTTAAAAGTTTATAGAAGTAGTGAAATCTTAATATGTGTTCAACAATTACGTGTTTAGATCAACAGAATGTCAATTAAAGACAAATTTGAAAAATAAAATATACTAGTAAACATGAAAACTTTGATAACTCTTAAGTTTGAAAAGAAAAACAAGTTTATTGAAAATACACTCACAATATCTTGATGTCCTATACCAGCGATGAAAGTTCCAACACACTGAACATAATCTTGTTCATCTGATTTATTGGCATCTAAGGATAATTTTTGTCCGGCTGATTCAATTAATTCTTGCCATGGCGTAAACAAACTGTCGTTTGATTTCTCTGAATTTAATAAATCTGAATTAGCCTGATCAGTTGTATTTTCTGAATATTCTCCGAGCTCGATAGGATCGGCTAAGTCATTAATATCCCAATTTTCCGGGCCTGTCATATGTTGCCTGATTTGAGTAGACAAAGCTTCTAAAGAGTCTAGATTAATATTATTATTTAATCTATTTTGATAAGTGCTTTCATCTTTCTCAGCAGCCAAATGATTCGAATTCGCATTATTATTACTATCAATGTTATCATTACTGTTATAGGTACCATCACGATTCTTTTTGACTGACAATTCAGCTTTACAGGTTAATTCATTATTACAACCCAGAGAGGTGTCTGACGACAAAGTATTGATCATAGAAGGAGAGAGTATCAAGTGCAATTCAGTATCCGAAACATCTTCACACTTTAATCCATCCAAAAGTTCACAAAGAGCGTGAGATGTCTGTAGTTTTCGATCTTTGTCCTTAGGTAGAAGACAAGGAGGATGAGAGGGAGGACTCGAGGGATGATGAGCAGACTCAATACAAACTGGAATGCTATTAGTTGACTTCCGACTTGGACTAGAAGAATCGTGAACTTCATTTGTACTTCGTCGATCACGTTTTGGCAACAGAGGTGGGTGTATGTCTGACTGGGATTTCGGTAACTACGTTCAAAAGGTAAGTTACGAGTAATGTATATATTGATATATGAGTACGAAAGGCAACAAAATCATATTGTACATATCAGTTATTTAAAGAAAGAATAGAAATGTTGTACTTCATATTGCGTTAAACACTTATCGGACTAATGTGTCAACGATTTCAAAGAGAGTATAGATGAACTAGCTATAAATAGGGTAACTATTTATTTTTTAGATCTGAAAACGTATTTAATGGCTTGGAATATATGTTTGGTGAAACACAATCGTAGTATACAATATGTGAGAGTTAGAAAGTTAAATAAACTAACGATTAGAAATGTATTTCCGGAGGAATCATGAAAATAGAACATAATACTAGCATAATAGTTAAGAACAGTTACCTTAAACTACTTTTTGGAAGGAATTATTACTGTTGGTGTTACTAAGATGTACTTTCAATGTGTAATTAACACTAAATGATACGATCTGCATGCAAAAAGATAGAATAGACGTGCGAATTCTCCTAGCTCTGTCATTAGTAGATTGTTCTATGACTAATCTGGAAAATGGTCGGTGAATTTTAACCATATTGAAAATATATTGGGAATACTTTATTATTTGTAATTTTACAGATATTCATTAGCTACCATATAGCAACAAAATTTATCTTTGAGTTAAAAAGTGGACTAAATTTCCACTTCTTTGGTGTTGAATTAACAAGAAAACCCGATGAGACAACCTATATTTACCAGTGATCTAGCAGACAAACTATCATATATGACCACTTCGATATACAATAGTCACTCCAGCTGTTTTTGTACAGTCAGTCGTCTAATGCGTATTCTAAACAGGACACAAGAATACTATAAAATACGGTTAAAAAGAAAGCAACATAAAATGCAATAATAGAATACCTTGTCTAAATCGACTGTCCTATTAAAGTAGCCTCAAATTCTCTTTGTTGACCTCAGCCTACTTCAACTTACCCTTGTTTCCAAGATCTTTCTGACCACATTTCACTTTCAAAGTTACTTGTCATCTGTTTTATATTATAGTTCTGACTTAACTTTTAATTATTGATAATAAGAATAACACTTTTATAAGTATCATTACCAAGTTTTGATTTGATAATTTTGAATAAATTGAACATTGGATAGATTGTTATAAATAAATTAATATATTTGTAATATCCCAATGAGTAGAAAAATGAGATTTTCTGACGTTTCGTGACTCAGTGTAAGCCACTTCTTCAGAGAATAATTAACCAAAGTAACATTAATCCAAGTTTAAATAGTACAACGGGACAACACGAATATTAGGTGATTAATCAAAAAACAGGTCTGAATAAATTTTGGTTATTTATTTTCTGAAGAAGTAGCTTACACTGAGTCACGAAACGTCAGAAAATCTCATTTTCCTACTCATTGGGATATTACAAATATATTAATTTAATAACATTTTTACTTTTAGTTTCTTATAACATTGTTTCATTAACGATAATTATAAGTAGCGAATATCTTACAGCTTATCATGAGAAAAAAATTTATTACGTCGAAATAAGAAAATGTAATGACTAATATTATTTTTTTGGCAAGACAAATTGAAGTTCGGTTTAATTGTACCAGAAAACTTTGATTCCAAAACAAATCTTTAGTTGACAGATATAACAGCGAAACATGGATTAAATAGCTATAAAAGAGTGATTTAGTATGCCAAAATACAATAGCCATCATTAACTATTTTGACCGTAGATACTTACGTTATTGACTTGTTGACGTGTTGAATGATGTTGAGGTTCATAATTCTCACGAAATTGTTTTGAGATTTTAGGTGATGGTGATAAAGACTCGATATTTTCACGTCGATGAATTCCACTTCCGTGTCTTTTTGTGCTATTAGAATCACGTATGTGACGACGTTCATAATTTTTCGAATAACTAATCTCATGTAAATCAGGATTGTCATCCGGATTATGATATCTAGGTTTTGTCTTAGCGAGATAAGTCTTTGAGTGAATATGCTGTTTATCACTTGTGCGATATGTTGATGTTCGTCGAGATTCGTATCTTTCCGAGCCACTATGACTTCTTTCACGGTGAGGTCCATGATGTCTTGAGTGAGACCTATGACTTGGGGATAAATGATGACGTTGTGTTGATTGACGATACCCGTAACTTAAAGTAGCCGAATTATATCGCTTTGACTTTGAAGGTGAACTGACAGATGATTGCGTTCTTTTTAATGAATTATACTTTTCTTCAGGATTAGTTCCGTGACCGCTATCTGTGGCCCGTGTAGGAAGATCAGGTTCGTGATCATGATGTAAATGCATGGATGGCGATCTACTGTTTTGCTCATACCTCTGCCTATGTAACTTATCATGAAAACGTGGGTCATGGGCACGGTGCATTTCATGTTTTCCGGAGCGTATCGGGGATTGGCTACAAGAAGATGAACGCGAAATATGTGAAGAACATCTAGAAGCGGATGACGGTGTCCCTGGAACGGGTTTATAAGTATAGGGACGTGGAATGACTTCAAAGCTTTGTTCTTTGACTGAAGTTGGAGCATCTTGGCGACAACTGTCTCCGCAAATGACAGACTTGGTAGAACGATGAGTTATTCCATCCACCATTGACATTTTTGACGAACCATGAGGTTTGTCGCGATGCTTGTGTTTACGGACAGATTCTTTGATAACTGATTGATCAACATTTATCTCAGAGTTCGCTTCATCGTGTTTGCTACGCTTTTCATGCCTTGTTTCACCCTTCGAGTGTTTTCGTTTTTTTTTCACATGTTCGCGCTTGCTTTTGTCAAGTATAATTTCTTTTTCAAACCCTTCTTTATCTGCACTATTCGACTGACTAACATCCGAAGACAGCTTAGGACTGATTATGACTGAAGATTCGTTTCTATTCTTTGCATGTTTTGTTTTCAGAGGTTTCTCTTTACCATTTGAGTGAGTAGTTTGAGAACTTTTTTTTGAATGGTGTTTGGACTTTTTCGTTACTTCCTTAAGTGAACTACAATCGGCATATGACTCAGCATCCGCTGGTTTACAAGTCCCTCGTATGGGTGTTTGGTCTTCTGGACAGATAAGCTCCGCTTGTCGGGGCATTTTAGCTTTATTTGGTATCTACAAAGTGATGAGACAATATACACATTAACTCATTGGTATTTTCCGAAACCTGTTTGTAAATTAACAGTTGACACACATTATGCAGATAAAAATTCACTGCGTACTTACAGATTACACTAGATATAACTGATTCCACTGACAATAACACTGAAAATCAGTCTCAGACCTAAAGCAGCAGTAAACTTCGAAGACTATATAGTGACAGCAAACGTAAAAATATAATAACTAATTAATCTCAGCCAAGTAACAGAATATTATCCAGATTTCAAACAACCTACTTTCGAGAGGGATATAGATGTCTAATCAGGTAATAAAGTGGGGGGTTTGAAACCCGTTCCGTCTACTTCGGTTTCAGTCATATACAACGTAGAACCTGACAATCGCGTGTCTATCCAGATTTGCGCATCACACTAACACGGCGAGATAAAATTATCATGAAAATCCCTGAGTAGCAGAAGTGGTAACAGTATTGGTTTGAGCGACCGGGTAGTATTACTAGCCCAAACACTTAATGTGGCTCAAAGTCAAGCATACTATGTGAAGATTCACACAGTAAAAGTGAGTTAATAACATAGCTATTCTAAACAAATATAAAATCAGGTAATACAAAAGCCAATAACTTGATTATTCTTCAATAGAAAACCTGACTTTTCAGGATTAACCGTGAGATTTGACACCTGCTGTAATAAAAGGAAAGAATTGAGATACAATCGAACTTGAGGAGTTGGTCCTAAATAAGTACATTGCTAAAATACGCAAATTCCATGCGCAAAAAGAAAATCAGATGGAGTAAGTTTCTATCAAGCATTTTAAGTGACTACTATAGTACATAAATTACATGACTAAAAGGCATCAAAAGAGTTCTGCACTGATTATTGGAGTGAGTCTTAAAAGACTGAGTTTTAGTTTCAGTTTGGAAAGGACAGGAGGTTGGGTGGCCTGTGTTAGTCCTGGCAATGGTGATCTCTCAGCTGATCCAACTTCCTTTTGAAAGCGTAAACAGATAGAGCTTCAGTCACATGTCTTATTTATTTATTTAAGCACATAAATATTGGTACAAAGAAGCACCAGATAAATATGCGCCTCACAAATCTCATTCGATTTGTGTGAGGGCTGTGATACTGTCCAGGTGCCCAAACTGAAGCAGGTGGTTTTCTTAAGGAGCCACACCCGGAGCCATTGACGTGAAGGTCTAGTCCACAAAGCAGTGGAGCATCGTGAGGAGATGCAGTCCCATGGTAGCCGGTGACCAATGATAGGTTCTTCCGCCATTCGTTCCATCAGGATACTGGAGCCCATGTGCACCATTGGTTTGGAATCAGGGTTTTTTAACTCCCCTAGGTGGACCCTCCGTGTCCACCAATCCGGTTATAGCGCCGGACATTCGCTTTTCGTCCTCTCACTTTTGTGAACAACACCCCCGCCACGAGAAGGCAGTGAGTAGGACTTCCCTGGCAGAAGCTATATATTCGCGTGGCCATGTGAGAGCATTTCGAGAGGGAGAGCAGACTCTCCTCACTCTCGGCCGTACCAGGGCATTTGGGGGCCATGTTGAGGTAATGAATTCCAGTTGTCGATGATTTGATGGGAAAGTCGATAATCAGCTGTTAAGTAATTTTTTCTGGGTTTGTGAACTTTCTTAGAGTGTCGTCGTAAATTTTCTATTCTGGATGACAAGAAAAATGAAGGCATATTAACTGTAAGTTTATTGCTAAGTAACTTGAAAACTGACCAAGACCCCTATGGTTCTTCTTTATGACAATGGAAATAGACTTAGTTTAGCCAGTTGATCATACAGAAGCTGAGATATTCTGGGAATCAGCTTGGTTGTGGTTCTTTTATTTTTTTCCAACAACTCACTTTCTTTAAACAGGGGCCAGCCGCTTGTATGTAGTACTCAAGTTTAGGACGCACGGATACTGTATACAAAGTCAAAAAAGTTTAAGCGTTGACATGACTAAAGGCCCTACTTATTGACCATAGGGTTCTAAAACCTTTGGCAGTTATTGCAGTAGTAGTAGTAGTAGTTTAGTAGTCTTTAAGTCTTGGCTAAAGACGACTCCTAGGCCATTGTGTGTCTGAATAACAGATAGCTCAATGTTATCCGCCATGTATGTATCTGTACCTTAGTGATCAATATGCATCACAATGCACTTGGAAGCATTTATCGGCAACTGCAAATTCTAGACCGTTCAGATAATTTCTCCAGGTCATTTTAAAGCTCTAAACTATCACATGTACTTCTTATCACTCTCCATATCTTTAAAACGTCAGGATATAACAAAACCGATGATGATAGAAGACTAAGAAGGTCGTTTAAATATAGGAGGGGAAACACTAACCCCAAAACTGTACCCTAAGGCAATCCGCTAAGCACAGTTTCCCAGCTAGATAACTCTAAGTTCACCTGTACTTTCTTGATGCCCAACCAGGAAGTTCTCTATCCACATAAATCAATTGCTATTAATCCGAACATCAAATAACTTTGGTAACAGCCAGTTGTGAGGATCCTTGTCAAAAACCTTACTGAGGTCAATGTAGGCTACATCTATAGATAAATTTTGATCTTTAAAAGCGCACCGATTTCACGGGCTACTGATAAGTTAGTGAGATATGACTCACTTGTTCTAAAACCGAGCTACTTATCAGTAAGAACTCGGTTTTTGTCTAGATACTCAAACTGCTCCTTCCGAATGTTTTTTAAAAATTTTAATAACCACGCTGGTTAGGCTTACGGGTCGACAGTTCTCAGGTTTGTGCCTCGTACCTGTCTTGAAGACAGGAATTACTATAGTAACTTCTCAGGTTTTTGGTAATCGACCCTGGGTTACACATAGATCATAATATATGCTTATTTATTTATTCATTTAAACACAAATATTGGTACAATGAAGCACCAGATAAATATGCGCCTCACAAATCTCATTCGATTTGTGTGAGGGCTGTTATACTGCCCAGGTGCCCAAACCAAAGCAGGTGGTTTTCTTAGGGGGCCACACCCGGAGCCATTGACGTGAAGGTCTAGTCCACAAAGCAGTGGAGCATCGTGAGGAGATGCAGTCCCATGGTAGCCGGTGACCAATGACAGGTTCGTCCGCCATTCGTTCCATCAGGATACTGGAGCCCATGTGCAGCATTGGTTTGGAATCAGGGTTTTTTTAACTCCCCTAGGTGGACCCTCCGTGTCCACCAACCCGGTTAAAGCGCCGGACATTCGCTTTTCGTCCTCTCAATTTCGTAAACAACACCTCCACCACGAGAAGGCAGTGAGTAGGACTTCCCTGGCAGAGGCTATATATTCGCTGGCCATATGAGAGTATTTCGAGAGGGAGAGATGACTCTCCCCACTCTCGGCCGTACCAGGGCATTTGGGGGCATGCTTAAGGGATTCACAAAAAAATTGCTAATTCCTTTATTAACATAGAGTGCATTTAATCAGAATGCATGTGTTTGCATATATCATACTCATTTAGCAGACCATAGCCCCCAAATGTCCTGGTACGGCCGAAAGTGGGGAGAGTCCGCTCTCCCTTTCGAAATACTCTCACATGGCCACGCATATAATGCCTCTGCCAGGGAAGTCCTACTTACTGACTTCACGTGGCGGGGTGTTATTTACGAAATTGAGAGGACGAAAAACGAATGTCCGGCGCTTTAACCGGGTTGGTGGACATGGAAATTTCACCTAGGGGAGTTGGAAAACCCTGATTCCAAACCAATGCTGCACATGGGCTCCAGTATCCTGAGAGAGCAAATGGCGTATGAATCAATCGTTGCTCCACTGCCTTGTGGGTCAAACCTTTAAGTCAAAGGCTTCGGGTATGGCCCCCTAAGAAAACCACCTGCTTTGGTTTGGGCACCCGGGTAGTATCCGAGCCCTCACACAAATGAGACTTGTTTGGGGCATTTGTATCTGGTGCCCCACTGTACCAACATTCATGTGACCAAATAAATAAATTTAGCAAGGTGACTCCAGAGATATCATGAGACATTAGCTGGTTTAGTCACTGTTTTATCAAATTGATGTCATACTGAAAACGAGTTTTAGGTTCTGAGCTTTTACTCTCCTTGATCCTATGAAAGATAACTGACCTGTCACTATGATCAGTCGTTAATTTCTGAACTGTTTGTGGGACTGGCCTTTCTTTGGCAACACTATTTTTGATCTGTACCCACTCGCCAACTTTCATAGGAGTAGCGACCACAGTCGCGTCACACACACTGAGGGATCCTGGATGAGTGCATATGGTCTGAGCAGTCAGGTTATTGTTTAACCTGCTAGAAACAGATCCAAACTTTGTGACTACGTTTCTCAGGCTTTTCCTGCTCGCTGCCACTCGGAGGGCAGGTACAGAAAAAACTTCCTTTCTTGAGCACTTATTTCCAACAATCTTTTTCATAAGCCGTCGTTTATCCATTGGCTCACGTAAGCTAATCGACTCAACTTATTTGAAGTGATTTCACATCAATTTGTGTATCGACCGAGTGATTACTGTTTGATGTGTCTCGATTATGCTCGTTAATACTCCTTTCAGTAGCACTCAGTTTCAGTGGCTTCGTATAGCAAGCTCTTTTCATCCGAGCAGCACTGATGACACAACCACACGTAACTATTTTTTACCAAACCGTTTAAAAGCTGCAGGCGTTAGATTCGTGCAAACTTTGTGGCACCATCCTTTGCACTCATCATACCACAGGGTATCAATAGCTCCTGAGTTGATAATTGGTTTTTGGCATTGATCAGTAATCAACCAGAGATTTACAATTGAATAAGACAAAAGAGAACACATAGAGACAGAAACTGATTACCAGAAGGAAAGTGAAAAACCGTTAACTGTTAGGTCCAAAAGTACAACAAAGAAACAAATACACTTTTTTAAAAAGTACAGGTGATAAGTTATTTTCGATCAAAAACGATACTCTTGACGTTACTTTTGCTGAAATAAATTTAACCCAAAAGAGAACAGTGGTTTTGATCCATATTAAACGATCAAAACTGTAACTTTAACTCAGCGAGGAAGAATACTACTGTACTTTCTAAAGCAGAGGTTACGGTTTTTTAATGTAGACAAGTCACTCACAGAACACTGATGGATGGGTAATCAGCTGCAAAAGTAATGAAGTGAGGTTGATTATTAGTCGTATATACCATCCATTCCACTGTATCCTTAAGCTGTATACACGGTCTCATATCGTGTAATCTACTGGAACCTAGTGCTGAATGTGTCTGTTTCCATGACTGACTGAATCATCTAACAGAGGAAAACAAATGAAGAAGGACACTAAAAGAGACTGAGACGGGCCCACTATTAACTAAAGTAATTTGACCTGTAACACGTCCACAAGAGAAAAGTCAAAGGGTTCATCAATACAAATAACGAAAAGAAAGTTCACGGTCAAGTTAGTCTTGATAAAGTACTGCTTTATTTTCTTAGTCGCATAGAAAGACGTAACAACTTACTCTTAAAGGTAAATTAGCAACAGCCTCAGACAGACAATACACATGTAACGCAACGGTTGAACAACCCACTCTATTCTTCAGATGTTTACGGACAAAATATAATAAGCTGTCGGTTGACGGACTATCTTACCTAGTAGCAGCGCATAATCGATACTACCAGTTTTGGACTTAAGTTTGTTTAACATGCAAGTGGTAAGTAATGGTAAATTATAATGAAATCCTGCACTGAGTCTTCAGTATAAAGATAGTGAGTTAGTGAATTTGTGTTGCAGTTCTTGTCCACTAAATGGGAAAAACGAAGTCGCACTTTTAGTTCAATGAATCGAGGTTTGTGAACCATCTTGCTATGACATCATCCGCAAACAATGATGTGGGTGACATAAGCAATCGAGGTAATTCATTAACATAGAGAAGGAAAAGTAGAAGGCCTAAAATGGTGCATTGGGCTACACCACTTTTGACCGGCCTCCATTCGGATAGCGTTCCATTGACCCTCACTCTCTGTCTGCGGTCACATAAGAAGTTTCCTATCCATTCCTGTATAGCACCTGTTATTCCGACTGACTATAGCGTCTTTTTAATCTCTAGAGAGTTGAGCGAATGAAAGGGACATGTTGAAGGGCGTCACAAGCGGTCTTGAAATAATGTCCACAAACGACGAATATAAATATAAATGTTCGATAATTTTAATGTTTGATTATATTTCCTGGAAGAAGATTGGACCAGATTCCCAGGCGGAACATTGGATTTCCTAATTTACTCATTGAGATTTTATAAATACACTCTTCCTCTTTACGACATCAGAGTTCACGGAGTCCTGCAAACAATGGAGTCGAATATATTAGGACCCCACCGTATGACCCCCAGACAAATGGGCAAGAAGGGAAATTTGTTGATATTCTTGAGCGAGCTCTCTTAAAAATGGGAAGAAAAGTTAACGTAGAGGAGGCTCTGCAACAGTTTCCATTATCTTGTGGTATCACGCTTAGTCCGAATTGTCAAGATGAAAAATCACAAACTAAAATAACATTTTGTTGAAATCCACTAAAAATAAGCCTAAATGAGCCTAACACCACAAAAGGAGGAAGGGTGGAGTTACTGACCAGCAAGCACTGATGGTGAGGACGATGATTTCAATCCACCTGTGTTTGTAGGGCAGAACACTTTGTTTGTATCAGGCTCTTTATGGATGAGAACAAGTCAGCCAATCTGTGATATTGAGGTTGTTCTCCTACACTAACCATTCAGACTCATGTTTCTAATTTTTATGCTGGACTAACTATTCTACTTAGACAACCATTAACATGCTAACTCTGACTTTTACATGAAAACCGTGTGGCAGGCATCGGATGATGAAAAAACAGACTGTAAAGGATATGGTTGCTATTTTACTCAACACTCTACTATCTATATGGACTCTCTGTTCTTCCTCATTCCAACCTTGACTTCCCTCCTCCATTGGAACCTACTCCACCTTGATAAATATCACAACTCATTGTTCTTTATTACTGCATTCTCTCCTCTGGAGCCCCTAATCACAATTCACTTTTGCAACAAGAGCTAGTATCAATTTAATCTAATAATTTATCATACCTCCATCTGTTCCACTAATAAATGTTAAGCGTTGGTTATCGTTCATATTCAAACGCCTTGCTGCTCCTCGGTTTCTCTTTCTTTTCTTTCTCTTCTCTTCAGAATCTTGCTCTAAGGGTGAAGATATGTAACTTCTGACATCTGGAACAAGCTCGACGAACGCGCTTTCCCATGGTCATAGTTCGAACCAGGCGCTCCACAAGCCTACTTTATAACAACAATAAACTTAAAAAGCTGCATTACATAAATACTTAGCACGACCGAAACCCTATTGCACTTTTTGTCGAGATTGGATCTGGTACGTAACGTGGACTCCATGCCCCCTTGGAAACTACTCTTATGAAAACACATTATATCTGAACGAATGAACTGCTATCAACTTTTATAGATTATAATTACTAAACAACCTTGCTTGGGATGCACACTGTTGTAGCTGTAAATAATTCCCCAAAATCAACAGTTCATTAAGTGTTCGACATTGGATGCTGACCACGTTGTTTAAGTGGACTTGTTTAGCTAAAGGCTTTCGGTCATGCATCCGTACCAGATCACGTTTCGACTCGGCGTGGGACACAGCTCCTACGTTTGATTAGCCAGCTTATAGAAAAGGTCCTCGATATATTGGTAACGAATCAAATATATCTTTCCTGCCTCTTCTCGTCTGATTTCTATCTGACTGGGAACGATCAAATATAGAAGGTGCTACTGGTAGCTAGTTGTAAAACTAGAACATCCGTTGCATCATTCATTGGTGAACCCGACGTGATCTGGTACACCAAGTCAATATACTGTGAGTCTGTTCCATTTTGGAATATTATTATTCATTGTTATTCTTTATTTGAATTTCATATATTGTGATATACTTTTTTTCGCGAAATTTTTTTCTCGGACATTTTTCGTTATCTATATTACTATGACGGAACACTCTCCTAAGGTTCTTAAGTTCAAGTCTATTCCCCCTATTTCGATTCAGTTAACGCCATTTTGGCCCGACAATATCGAGTCCTGGTTCTGCTATGCAGAAGCCGATTTTAGCATGCACGGACTCGCGCACACGTTTCCTCGCGGTAGTTAAGGCGTTACCGCGCGAGTTCAACAGGTACGTAACACCTAGTATGTTTACTAGTGATGTTTCCGAACCTTACGAAACGCTTAAGCTATCGATTTTAAAACGAGGAGACCTAACTGATCGACAACGGTTAGACCAACTCCTTAACAATATCGACTTGCAACATGATTCTGCGACGGACATGTTGCTTAGAATGAGAGAAGTCATCGGCCAACGAACTTTCGATGATGGCCTATTTAGACAACTTTTCTTGTCTAAACTCCCTCAACAGGTGTGGGCAGTGCTTGTTTCATTTCAAAACAATGCCATAGATGAACTAGCTGCATCTGCCGATCGAATCTTGGAAATCACTAGATCTTCTAAGGCCGAGGTTTTTTCCGTCAAAGAAAAACCCCAATCGACCTCGACTGACATGGCCGAACTATGTCACACGCTTACACGATATCTTAGAGTTCGCAATGACCGTAGTCGGTCAAAAACCCCGCGTAGAAGCGCCTCACGTAAGCGATCTGGCTCTCGACCACGAGAGACAGACAATCCCGACTGGTGCTGGTATCATAACCAGTACGGTAAGTTTTCCAGAAATTGCAGGAAACCTTGCAATTATCCGACTTCAAAATCGACTGACACGAATAAGATTTCGGGAAACTTCCCAGCCGGCACGCGTTGACGGCAACCGTAGCCGGCGAACACAGCCGCCTCTTATATGTCACGGATGTGGCCACGAAAGTTCGCTACCTCGTCGACACTGGCGCAGAAGTTAGCGTTCTTCCAGCAAATCCCGACGACAGACTTCGCGAGTCTGTTTTAAGTTTACAGGCGGCAAACGGAAAGCCGATCGCTACTTACGGTAAAAGGTACGTCTACCTTAACGTGGGTTTACGCAAACCCATACACTGGATTTTCGTGGTTGCAGATGTCTCTATGCCAATCATTTGTATAGACCTGTTACAACACCACAATCTACTCATCGACACACGCTCACGAAGGTTAATAGACGGAAACACGAAGTTATCCGTTTGCGTAACTCCTTGTTCCGGTTGCAGGTTATCCCCAGTCACGATTAAGCACACCATAGACCCATTGTACCAATCAGTACTCGACAAATACCCCGGAATATACCAATCGCAATCGAAATTGCCTTGTGTAACCAGCAATGTTACACATCACATCTCGACTACAGGACCACCTGAAGACTCGCTCCCGAGAAGCTTAAGTTAGCTAAAAATGAATTCGACCACATGATGGACCTAGGTATAATTCGACCATCGAATAGTCCATGGTCATCCCCATTGCACATGGTCCCTAAAAAGGACAGCAATGATTGGCGGCCAACTGGTGATTATCGGCGTCTGAATGCTAAAACCATTCCCGATCGTTCCCGCTGCCTCATATTCACGATTTGACTGCTACCTTGAAAGGTACAACTGTCTTTTCGAAAATCGACTTGGTTAAAGCTTATAACCAAATACCAATGGCACCTGGCGACATTCCTAAAACCGCCATCATCACTCCCTTCGGTCTTTACGATTTTCTACGAACGCCTTTTGGTTTAAGAAACGCGGCTCAAACCTTCCAAAGGTTTATAGACGACGTCTTCCGAGGTCTCAACTTCGTACATGCGTATGTTGATGACTGTCTAATAGCAAGTCCGGACAGAGAATCGCATCTCAAGCATCTGGACATTGTTTTCGATCGACTCCAAAGGCATGGCATTACTGTCAACATACAGAAATGCCAAATCGGAACAAACTCCTTAGACTTCTTAGGACACACCATTGATGCCCAAGGCATCCGACCCCTTAGAAGCAAAGTGGCGGCCATTCTGGATTACCCAGAACCGACCACGATCAAGCACTTACGAACTTTCAACGGACTTGTAAGTTTCTATAGACGGTTCATACCCAAATGCGCATCCCTTATGAAACCGTTAACCGATCAGCTTCGTGGAAATGCGAAATCAATCAGTTTAGACGACATAGCCCGTAAAGCATTTTCCACAGTTAAGGAACACATCGCTAAAGCAACCTTGCTTGCTCATCAGGACACTCAAGCGCCCATTAGTATCGCCGTAGACGCATCCGACTCAGCAATCGGAGGAGTCTTACAACAATGGGTTAACAACTCGTGGCAACCTTTAGGATTTTTCTCGAGACGGTTGCTAGACGCTGAATCTAGGTACAGCACGTTCGGTAGGGAACTCCTAGCTATGTATTGTGCTGTACGGCATTTCCAACATTCCATCGAAGGAAGAGAATTCACGCTTTTTACCGATCACAAACCTCTTACCTTCTCTTTAACTTCATCTTCAGACAAGTACTCACCGCGAGAGTCTCGACAACTCGACTACATTTCGCAGTTTACTTCAGACATACAACACATTTCTGGAGCAAACAATGTAGTCGCAGACGCCTTGTCT